ATTATTATTATTATTATTATTATTATTATTATTATTATTATTATTATTATTATTATTATATATGGCTATTACAAACCTCCGTTATCGGCTCAGGTTTTTTTTAAATTAAAATTTATTAAAAGAGACTGCACGATATAAGTTTGTACAAAACTTCAATAAAATTTAAGCAACGGAGTTATTATGAAATTTTTGTTTTAACATCTTGTATTTTAAAAAAGAGGCGTTTCATTCAAAGAATCTGTGGTTAATAGCTTGACTTACTTTTTTGTAACACTAGATATCTGCATAGGTCAACAATTTTCAGAACACATTTTTAACGAAGTTATTTTTTAGAAATTTCGGTTCGATACTAAGTCACAGCTAATATGTAAATATTAAAAATAATAATGGCTCTACCTCTATTTTTTTTTTTAATAATTACATATAATAAGTGTCAAGAATACACTGATGTTATACTAGCCTTGCAGCAATGTTTACCAGAGGAGAGGAAGTAAACCAAGATGAATTAAAAAAATTGGAATAGAAGCAAAATTTGCATCAAGCTAAAGTAATACAGAAGATTAACCTACCTATAAATGTTTCAAAGAGATTCAGGTTTTGATTTCTTATCTTTAAATCTATATTTGTGTGAGTAAATTGTGTTTGTCACAACTTCTAGTTAAGTTCAAGATATAATTAAGAAGGAAAATAATACTTTTTATTTAAAAAATAAAATATGAAAAAATCTTTCATCTAGTTAGTTAGCCAGTTAGAAAGTAAAAAAAAATTACAAGCAATGGGATGGTTATCACATTTTCACATATTACCATAAAATGAAGTAATTTGGCAAAAAAAACGAAATCATTATTTAATTAGCACTTTAAAAGAGAAGTGAATTTAGCAGACAGTGGTGGGTTATATTTTAACAAAAGTATGGGATTCCCAACGAAGTTGCAAATCTCAAATTTCCTAAAATTTTACTATAGCTGACGGATTAAGACCTTACATTTTCTTTGTACTACACAATTTTTCAAATGTGTTTTATTGCAATGAATAAACCTCACAAATCTAGTAATGTTTAATGTTGGTTACAAATGCAACATCTATAGCAGGGGTCAGCAAGTAATCTTGAGCGCGGTCCGCCAGTTGCCAACCGTTGATCTACATATATGCATTTATTTGATTCTCTGGATTTACCAGCTCAATATACAGAATCTGTAATTTTCAGCAGACTGAATCCATATCGTATTCTGAATAGAATATAAAATGAGATATAGAACTGTTACAGATTTTTTTATCCCCAGAAATTATGAAAATGCAGAGGACTGGACCTACTGTATTGCTCTAAACAGTAAGAAGATTAAACATTAAACAGAAGATTTTGATCAATTACAGAAGAACCATTAAATATATACAGGGTGTTAGTGAATAAGTGCGACAAATTTCAGGGGGTGATTCTACATGAGAAAATAATGGCAGTTTGCTTATAAACGTATGTCCGCAAATGATTCGTTTTCCGAGATACGGGGTGTCAAAGTTTTTCTTAAAAACTGACGATTTAATTTATTGCTCTGAAACCGGTCGAGATGTGCAAATTAAATTTGGTGGGTTTTAAGAGGTAGTTATTGCGCATTTTTTGACACGCAATTAAGAATTTTATGTTCATCATTGGCGCGCGTACGGGTAATAATCTCAATTTTTTTAAAGAAAAAAATAGTAAGCCACTGAGACATTACAAATTAAAAATCATTTTTGAATTCCTCGTTCAATTTGTGACAAAAAATCTTTTTTGCCTTTTCTTCGTATGGGGCGTTGTTTTGATGCAAAAAAATAAAACATTTTAACGCGTATTTTTTATTTCTTTAATACATTATCAAGAACTATCTAATACAATAACATTAAACCAGAACAATAACAGAAAATAACACTAATAAAATTTTGAAAAGGCGCAAAGCTACAACAAATGTTCAAAGTGAACTCCTTCAGACGTGACACAAAATTCAACTCTTTGCCTCATGGATTGTCGTATTCGCGCAACTATTCCTGGTATATTTCTTATTGTCTCACAGCCGACTATAATTCGATTCCTCAGGTCATCAACATTTTCAACGGGAGTGGAATAAACTAATGACTTAAGAAAACCCCAAATGCAAAAATCAAGAGGATTTAAATCCGGCGATCGAGCAGGCCAATGTTCCGTACCTCCCCTACCTATCCAACGATTTGGATATACTGTGTCTAAGTGATTACGTACATTAATGCTAAAATGGGCTGGTGCACCATCATGCATGTACCATAGGTGTTGTCTCAGCTGTAGAGGAATTTCTTCAAGAAGAACAGGTAACTCTTCCTGTAGGAAATTAAGAAAAGATTCGCCTGTTAGTCGTTGTGGGAGGAAATATGGACCGATTAAATGATCATCAATTACCCCAAGTCATACATTTACGGAAAACTGATGCTGAAAATGAGCTTCAAAGATTCTATGGGGGTTTTCCTCAGCCCATAAGTGATTGTTATGGAAATTTCGTATACACTGTCGTCAGTAAACAAAACGGCATTTAAAAAATTAGGAATTTCAGCGATTTGATGATTAATCCATTGGCAAAAAAATAGGCATGGAAAAAAGTCTCTAGGTAGTAGAGCTTGCACACGTTCAATATGAATCGGATACAATTGCTGTTCTTTAAGAATTTTAAATACAGTGAAGTTGCTTACATTCAATATGTTGGCAATTTTTCGAGTACTTGTTTCAGGTGACTCCGCAATTAACTCGAGAACTGCTTCTTCTAGTTGCACAGTTCGTACTTCTCGAGGGCGCCCACAGTCAACCGTTTGTTTCTTAAATGAACCATTTTCGCGCAAACGTTGATGAAGACGAGCAAATATTGTGTGATGAGGTACCCTACGTCCTGGATACAACTCAGCATACAATCGTCGAGCTTGCCGACCATTTCCATTACTTGACCATAGACAAAATGCATGTCTGACAATTCCGCATTTGTAAAATTTTCCATTCTTTTCGATAAAAGAAAAATAATTAATTAATTAAATAAAAAATACGCGTTAAGATGTTTTATTTTTTTACATCAAAACGACGCCCCATACGAAGAAAAGGCAAGACATTTTTTGTCACAAATTGAACGAGGAATTCAAAAATGATTTTTAATATGTAATATCTCAGTGGCGTACCATTTTTTTCTTTAAAAAAATTGAGATTATTACCCGTATTACCCCCAATGATGAACATAAAATTCTTAATTGTGTGTCAAAAAATGCGCAATAACTACCTCTTAAAACCCACCAAATTTCATTTGCACATCTCGACTGGTTTCAGAGCAATAAATTAAATTGTCAGTTTTTAAGAAAAACTTTGACACTCCTTATCTCGGAAAATAAATCATTTGCGGACATACGTTTATAAGCAAACTGCCATTATTTTCTCATGTAGAATCACTCCCTGAAATTTGTCGCACTTATTTACTAACACCCTTAAAGATGTGCAGTGATTTCACTGCCTGCTACTTTATCGCTGTTCTGTAGTTGTTAACACTGCCCTGCCATGATAAAAGAAAAGGTGATTTTACGGAAGGTTTTACTACAGCCAGACAATGTTGGAGCATAGTTTTTCATCAAATACAATGTCCAGTTGTGAACTGAGCTGTATATTTTCATATCATTGGCATAAAGAAGAAAATTTACATCTAAGTTGCTAACTAAATCGTTAATGAACATAATGAATAGTAAAGGTCCAAGAATGGAACCTTGAGAAACTCCTGATGTAGCTACATACTCAGCTGATTTTATACCCATTATAAACCATATACTGTTTTCTGTTGTCTAAATAAGATTTGAAAAAACTTAATAAGGCCTCCGATATGCCAAACATATCAAGCTTCTGGAGTAAAATTGCGTGAACAAGCCTATCAAACGCCTTGCCGAAGTCCATATATATGACATCAGTTTGCAAATTGTTATCACTAGAATCAGCTATAAATTACGTAACACAGATCGCGTCAGTGATAGTAGAGCGTCCTTTCATAAAACCATGATGACAAGGTGTTATCATATTAGAGATGTTATAATAGAGTCATGAAGTAGTATTTCAAATACTTTACAAAAATTACATATAATGGGGATTGGACGAAAATTAGTAATATTAAATTTATCACTCTTTTTAAAAATTGGACACACTTTTGAACGCTTCCACAGATCAGGTAACTGACATTTAGTTAGGCATAAGTTGAATCATTTTTTTAAGGGACGAGAAAAAATCTAAGCACAGTCTTTTATCAGAAACGTGGGAACATCAGTAGTCATTTTCTTTTTAAAGCTGAAAGAATTTCGGTTTCACTGAAGTCACAAATATGTATGGTACTATTAATGTTATTGCTGGAATATAAATTATTACTCTTAGAAGATGACGGTAAATAAGATTTTGAGAAGAAATCTGCAGTCATCAATAATATCATTTGCTTTATCAATATGACGTCCATTGTAATGCACAGATTGGGATATATTTGTGGAACCCCTTTTACTATTAATAAACGCCCAAAATTTACTAGGGTTATTCCTAATAGATGCCTCCTTAGCAAAATTTACACAATGTTTTCTCAGGAATATTTTTCAACAAAAAAATAGGATGAAATTATTTTAAAATAGGTACTACCACAAAAAAAAAATGTGAGAAAAAAAGTATTAATTTGAAAACACAACCATTCTATGAAAAGAGCGGTTTAGTTTATATTTTTTATAGCCACCTACCATACAATTTTAATAAAAACTAAATATTTACACTGTAATAAGAAGTCTGGAGGATTTCAAATATCTAAAAAAGTTAATTGCAGAAATTTTTTTTACAGATTTGGATCAACCACTTCCAATTGACTTTTGTAACATTTTGTATTTTTTTTTTTATAGAATGCACCACTCTTGAGAAAAAATAAAAAATCAATAAGATTATAAGGCTGTAATATATGTATTTATTTATGGCATTAAAATTATTTAATTGTATATATCACTTACCCCCTGACATTGAATCATTCTGTTTACTGCAAATTTGAGCAAACTACATAAATGTTCTAGAGTCATTCCTTTCATAGCAGTAGACCTGCATGAGATAAAATTAGTGAATATTTAATCATTTTATGAGCATTTAAATTAAAAATTATCTTAAACTCAGTAGCATGTTACAATTCATTTCGTAGCATTTTATGGAAAATGCAACAGTATTGTTGTTACAGCAGTTTATTACTTCTTGTAGACACATAATTTTATTCATATCAATTTAAAAACTCAGAAGATACCTAAGATTGTATGCTGGCAAGCAGTTAAAAGTGTGATGCTTTTCCTAAGCAGCGACATTAAATGATAATAAATAAAATGAGATGATATCATTGTTTATCCTATTCCTTATTATGTGATATTTTACTTATTAATAAAACCAAAATAATTAAATTATAATCAATTATGTCTAGAATTAAAACCAAAATTATTTTTAATTTTACTAGGCAATTGAATTTTTCCATTCCTACTTAGCAATTTGTAAAAAAATATCAGACATGAATATGTTGTTTAATCATGACAATTATCAGATGAATACCAAGGTACACTGTGCCCCGTTTAAGTTAATTCTACAGAACATTCCTAATATCAATGCCGTAAGAAAGAAAAATCGGTGATGTTTTTTTCTGTAAGTTGTTTTGTGTGTAGGAAAGGATTGTGATATGTCAGCTAAGTGTTTCTGTTGTTAAACTCCATGTCTTTCATCTTTTTACAGGTCATGATTATGACTTATTCAAACTTGTGTACATTGGATGGACGGCATATACATGATACATTTTATTTGATTGCGATTATCTTACCTTGTTTGAGTGCTTTCTGCTTTTAAAATTGAAACACATTCAGGGCATGGCCAGTGTTCTGTATCATTTATAGTTTGTTTTAAACATTTCTGATGATACGAGCGGGGGCAAGTCTCACATGCTATATTGACAGCTTCTCTGTGGCACCTCCAACAGAACACATCCTTATTTTGCTGAAAAGTATTCAGATTTTAAGTATTTACAGTAATAAATAACTTACAATAATAATATATAAATGAAGGTTACATCACTTAGGTTAACGTGAATAGCTAATTTAGAATCTTGATCAAAGGGGCAAGAGGCTAATTAATATGTAATTGCATCTTTCTTGATTAAAGTTATAAAATAATTACCTTAAATTTAGCCATATCACTTGAGAGTGATTTTTTATTCTTTTTACCAAATTCTTCTGTGGCGCCACCTATGCTAACCTCATTTAAATCATCCCTTTTCCTTTTTGAGGCTTTATTGGAATTGTCTGTCAAGTATTTCTTATCATTATCAGAAATGTCTAATTCCAATTCGGATTCTGCAGTTACCGGGTATCTGAAGTTTCTATTTTCGTGAGCCACTTTTGGTACCCGTTTTAATTCAGTATCTAACGCAGAACTAATAGTCTTACAATGATCTTTAGCCTTGATTTTATTTCCTTCCAATGAATTTCTTTTATGCGATATGTTCGTATCAAGATTAGCTTCTTTGGAAAGTGCTAGTAACAATTTTAACTCTCTCGATTTCTTTGAATTTGTTTGTTCACTGTTGTCAACTTCGTTTGTTTTCTCAGTAGTAACATGATTATCTTTAGTATCTAATGATTCCGGGGAATTCTCAGGTTGACTTACAGTACCAATAATATCTTCTATTAGGTCTTTATTTATATTTACAGGTGAATTTGACTTCGATTCAAGGTTGAACGCTTCGTCTACAACTTTACTCACCCGCTGGTCTGACATAGTGAAACTAAAAAATAACAAAGTTTTGATATAATCTTTTAAAAACAAAACAGTACTTACTGTTGCTGGTACTGCTAGACATAAGACATCTATTTTCTTAATGTAATGTATGATAAAATATAGCTCACTGTTTACTGTCTGTCCTCTTGAATCAGCAGCATTATTTATTAACTTTTACAGTAGATAATAGATAATAGATATAAGATTATACTACGACATACGGCGTCGCAAGACTTAAGATTGAGACTCTAGCGGAGAATTTTAGTAGTTGTGTATACAAAATAATACAACTCTAACCTAATAATTTCTTTCATTAGGTACATAACTCTTTTACCCTTTGAGACATATATCGATGAAATTGAGCTTTTTGATTATCCGCTACATTTTTTTTTAGCAATTATTGGATTATCATTCATAACAACTACTACTTGAATAAAACGAATAAAACCATGGGACACAGCACTAATTTTTTTTCGTTAAACGTAAACGTAGTGTACGCAGTGTACGGTATAATCTATAATCTTCACTTCACAGATGGCTCTCATATTCTTAAGTTCATGGATGTATGGTTTTAAAAATACTTGTGTTCGTGTGCCTTAAATGTGTAATTTGAAACAAATGAAAATTTGCAAATAGGACAAAAAATATATTCATGATAGTTATTTAATTGAAAATTCGGAAATAAGTACATACAGCTAATATGTTTGTACATATAACAATAAATACATAATACATACCTTGAATAAAACATTTTTGAAATTTATGTAACCATATATACAGCGGAGTATAGGGATGGCATATTAATTTGTATTATATAAAGCTAAACCAAAAAATGATTTTTTTTGCAAATTCTTTTATTTGCAAAATTTGCAGACAATAATTGATTGTATATATTTTTTTTATTTTCAAATTTTATATTTTACATCTATAGCTACTTATTTAGTACTTACCCTCGCGTTTGTACATATCTAGTACCTGGGCACATACATATTGTCTACAAATAATTTGAATCTTTTACGTCTTGTTTTATTATGTCGGTTAAGGATTTTGTTCCTAATTAACGTGCTAAGTTATATATCTATATTATATGTCTACATTATAATTACGTAGGTACCTACATACATACCCATATTAAATTGATGTTGTCAAACACGACCTAGTAATCTTATTTTACTTAAGAGGGTTGCTGAATAAGGGGCGTAAAAATAATTTCAGAATTTTTTGCCCTTTTCCTATGAGGTAAAGTATCGGATTTAGGTATTTAAGAGCATTATGCAGAAAATAAAATAAGATGGCGTCGAATTAGGGTTGATTCCGGTGGAGCTTCAGCACGTAGAGGCTCTCGACGGAATATTCTATAAAATTTAGAGCTTTTAAATTCAAGTGGCATATGGCATATTAAAATGGACGTTATTAGTGCATAACTTCATTGCTGTAGTATTAGCAGTGTATGTCCCTGTTTAAACACGTAGCAAGAATAACATTTAGTTAGCATCGAATAGCTCGTCATTATGCATAACTGTGTCAGGAGAATAACTATTAGGGCCAAATAAAACCATTAGCTTAGAAAATGCAAGTATAACCTACTTCCGTAATATGTTTATATTTGAATAGTTAATACTTGCCAATTGTCATGTTTATTTTTCGTTGTGCTTCGCAATTATCGCGGTAGTGAAACCCCAAAATTTATTATTTGAAAATTAATACAGTGTATTTCAGGTTTTATCAAATCGGTATAACATTTTTATATTTACAGATATGTAGGTATATCATTTTTGTTTTCATAAGATTTATAGTATCATGAAAGTTATCTTTACATTTATCAAAACAGGATAATTACTGCTTGTTACGGTATACAGGATGTGAATAAAATGCCTCACCAAATTTTAACGACGGTTTTTGCGTCATAAATTAACAAACCATTTCCTATAAGCAGATATCTGGAAACCCTTAATTGTCAGTGTCAAATAATTACATTTGATATAGAGGCATAGGTAATTTTGGGAGTAATTTTAGCTTGCAAGGTTATTTTCTTTCCGGATATTTCATATCTAGAGTTCCCTTGTCGTATCCAGTGCGAATTTGTGGAGGGAGCTATCTCAAACGTAAAGTTATTTGTGTCGACCCGTAAACTAGATTAACTGAAAAGTTCAGGGAAACTGAATCAATTAGTGATCTTAAACACTCTGGACCTCCTTCAACAAGTCGTTCAACATAAAACATCGAAGCAGTTCGTGAGAGTGTTGCTGAGAGTTCAGGTACATCAATTCGGCACCGTGGTCAAGATTGGACATTTCGAGAAATTCTCTAGGTACAACGTGTTTTCAGGAAAGATTTGCGTCTTCATGCTTAAAGTTCAATTGATTTAAGAACTGAAGCCTATTGACCAAGCTGAGTGAAGAAAGTTCGTTGAATTGATTATGGAAGAGCAACAAGTGGATGCTGATTTTTCGAACAAAATCATATTGATGGCTTCGTTAATCGACAATATTATCGCATTTGGGGTTCAGAAAATCTACTAGTGATTATTGAGAAACAAATGCATCCATAACGTGTCACTGTTTGGCGAAGATTTTAGGCTAGAGGCATCATCGGACCATTCTTCTTTGAAAATGTGCCTGATCAGGGTATAGCAGTTAATGGTACTCGGAATTGCGACAAGATAATCCAGTTTTTGGTGCCTAAATTGCAAGATATGGATGTAGATGACATGTGATGCCATACAACCCGAGAAACAATTCAATTACTGCATGAGTCATATCCGGGTCGTATAATTTCCTGTTTTGGTGATCAGAATTGGCTGCCCAGATCATGCGATTTAATGCCGTTGGACTTTCTTCTTTTGAAGTTTTAAGGTTTATGCCAATAAACCCACGACCTCCCACGCCTTGAAGGAGGAAATTGAGGTTGTGTCAACGAAATTCAGCCGCATTTATGCAAAACGGCCATGGAAAATTTCGACAAAAGAGTGCGTATGTGTCATTAAAGCCCTGCCCTGGAGGTTATTTACCTGATATGCTATTCCATACCTAACCCTATACTGTATACTTTATGAACCAATAAAAAAATTATAATTTGTAATTAAAAAAGTTGTCTTCTACTTCTATCAAAATTACTTCTTACGTGAATTTTGGGACATCGTTTATATGTGTGTACATTGTTAATTTTCATTTTGATTAAGCACATAATACGTTGATAACAGTGGTGGCTCGTCAGGTGACGCAAGTGACGCACCGCTTCACCTAAAATTTCCGTTTGGTTGTGCAATTTAAAATTATTTTTAATTTTATATAAATTTTATAATTTAGGTATAATTCTATATTGAAAATGTATTGTGTTTGTTTGTTTAATACGCAGAAATAAACAGAATAGTTGCGCGGTGAATGCCTTCGTTGAGCGCGCACATCAACCTCGGACCATACAACTTATGTATAGTATACGCAAGTGACGCAGATTGAAATTAGTCTGTATTCTGCTTCTCTTCGTAGCGTTGTTTATGGCGGTTATTATGGCAACGAGGCGGCCAATACGTAATTAAACTATGGTGTGGGGGAATGAGTGACGCAGAAATTGAAGCAGCATCTCCCATCGCCTGCCTTTAATAGTTTATACGACACGCGTCGCCCAGTGCACGATTATAACGGTTCTTTGTCAATATTTGTTTTGTATAATAATTGTAGAAATGTTTTCTATGTATTTTATTGGAAACGCCATTTTCCAGATGGAAAATTGAGGACAAAAAGGATTTTTTAAATTGCGAGAGACCTGTGCCTTATTCTCTCGATATGGAAAAAAGAAGAAAGTTTCGGAATTAATGGTATTCGGAACATAAGTGGTTGTAAATGTTCATTTGAAAAAACTTTTCTGTATGCCGTGTTTAATTGTGGTTGTAAAGTCGGGCGTGTGGCATAAGAAGGGATTTAACAATTTTGGGAACATCACGCGAGGTTGTCGTAAGCTTCTTTGGAACATACATATACGGTGTGCGTTAATGTTCGCAGAAGTCCACAAGCCGAACTAATATTTCTATTTTTTATAAGATCTAAATGAAAATCCTTCTCGCGAACGTCAGTTTTTCGGTAATATTGCAAATTAACTAAAAATTTCCAAATTTATTTCAAGCCGTTTGACCTTGGAAATTTGAAAATTTTCGCCAGCGGCCCTTTTTTTTCTTTTTAGTCAATCAATGAATATGCTTCACCTATTCTCAATGTCACGAGCCGCCACTGGTTGATAACTGGAGTGCTTAATATTATTCTAAATAGTGTTCTGCGAATACTTATAATTAGATACACATGAATTTAAAAGAAGTAAATCAAATCAAATTAATTCAGTATAACCAATTAATTAAAATGTTAATTCAATATTTCTAAATTAAACACGAACAATTTTCAAGAAAATTAGTGTAAAATGAATGAAATCTGTAAAGCCCATAATTTTTTATCAGTTATGATTACATTAGGTAATATCGGCAAATTTTGGAGAATTCTAATAAAATCAAGATGGCAATTTTTCGCTTGCTGTAAATTTGCTCCTTAAACATATTTTGTCGGTTAGTAAAAAAAAACAGATACTGTACTGTATCAGAATGTGATGAAAAACATCGTTTATGTTATGTGGTGACTGTTTTTCTTTGCTACCTAATATAACAATTAATTATCCTAAATAAGATTGAGGTAATTATTTATTGAATGAGGCTTAGGTATACGGACAAAATATACAGGGTGATTTTGAATAGAGTAGCACAAACGCTACCAGTGCATCTAGATGAAAAAATAAGGCGAATGAACTAAATATACCTTAGACAAAAGTTGCACTCCTGAGGCATTACAGGGTCTTGAATGTTGTAGAGCCAACCAATATTTCCTTCAATTTATCTTGAACGATGTGGCGTAAATCATTTATATTTGGTACAGACATTTGTCCAGTGCGGACACATACTTTCTATTAATATTGTTTAAATATATCCACCAGAGGCGCTGCTGTCGACTACATGCAACATATTACTCCAAAGAATTTTTCACCCTGTATGAAAATACATATCTTATTTACATTTTCGGACGTAACAACTAAAAACAAACATTTTTTCTCTCTTGCATTTTTTCGATAAACGCGATAGTTTTTTTAGATAATTTACGAAAAACAAACTTCGGAAATTTTACAGCGCCAATGGTTGCAGTCAGGTTGCAGTAATACAAAAACATCAACACACCACTCATTAATAGCTAAAGGAAAACGCTTTTCTGGTAAAGTAATTTTAATAAATTTATTTTGAAGGAACAGTAAGTATTCGTTATGTAACAAATCAAGTTATTTTAAGTGTCTAATTTAAATAATAAATTTTAATTTAAAACTACCTACTGTAATCTCGAATGTAATACTAAGGAACATAACGTTATTTTAAAGTAAAAAGTTTCTAAAGAATATTT